CCCTATCATCACCTGAGAGGTGTTTGAGCCACATAGTCTCTGGTTCTATGCTTTTCACATTAGCCTTGGTTGTTTTCAATGCTGCGTGACTCAAGACAGTCAAAAAAGATGGACCGAATAGCTTATGTCCAGTAACCCCCATGGCCTCCAGATGTAATAAATAGTTCAAGTCTAAATAACAGACCAGATCTAAAATGGTGAAGGGATCTAAAAGGTCAGAAGCATACAATATCCCATTCAAAAAATAAAAGCCCAATAGCAACACTTCGATAAAGGCCGAGGACTTTGTGGCTGACAGGTAAAAGATCTAAATGAGAGTTATTGCATGGACACGAACATGTATAGCTTAGTGGAATCACTGCTCCCATATACTGGGTTACAAATAACTGAAAGTGTGTGGGAGGCAAGGGTCTAAGGTATTGTGGGTAAAGAAGAATCAAAGATTCAAAATAAGAAAGGTAATAGGATAAATAAAATTCTAAGTGTATCTAACTGAGGTGAAAACATGGCCCACACTAACATTTTTGCTTTCCTTGGACACCTGAAAGAAACATGATTGAAATTTCTAGCTGGAGTATAGAAACGGTGCCCTCTTAAATGTATGTGGGAACATAAAATTTTATTTGTCAAATCAAAAATATTTTAAAATTGTAATATCTTTATTTTGAAATAATAAAATCAGCAAATTTCATAGAACTCTCATGATTATAACTATTTATCCTAACAGGCAATTCTTATCTTCAGAAAGTATTCATTTAAATTCTTTGAGTATGTCCTAGACAATGTTAAAAATGATAAATTATTTTCAACAAAATGATAAAGAGAATCTAAAGATGTAAGATTAGTTATTACATAGAATTTGACTCCCCAAAGAAACAAAGAATATTGGTCAATATGAAGTATTAAGCTGAAGAATACACTTAAGAAGTAACATGGAGTCACTATAGCAAAACTGCTAAATTACTAAAATCATGTAGGTTGAGGTATGAGGATATGATTTTATTCTTCCTTTAACTAGCCTGGGAACTTAAGTTTTGAATTTTCCAGTCCTTTGTGAATACCTGGATATACATCGAACTTCCAGATAACCCTCTGATTATCCCCTGAAGGACTAAGGAATGAATATTCACATACCCAGACCACTTGACACCCATTATCCAGTCCACCAATCATCTAGAGCAGCAGTCTCCAACTTTTCTGGAACCAGGGACCAGTGCTCCTATGAGAATCTAATTCCTAATGATCTGAGGTGGAGTTGAGGCAGTGAAGCTAATGCTAGGGAGCAGCTGCAAATACAGATGAAGCTTTGCTCACTTGCCCACCGCTCACCTTCTGCTGTGTGGCCCAGTTTCCTAACAGACCACAGACTGGTATCAGTCCATGCCCTAGGGGTGGGGACCCCTGATCTAGAGGAGTACCATCTCAGACAAATCCAAAGGCTAAGAATGCAAGACCGGTTCTTCTCTAGAATGTACTTTTTACTATAAAAATGTTTAACTTTTCTTTCTTCTTTGCAATACTTTTGGGTTTTTGCCTAGCTGTGTTCCCAATTGCAAACACTAAGCTTCTTGAATAAATCTTTATCATTTATTTCTACCTAGAGCCTCCAAACTCTTTTTGAGTTTATTCAACAAAGCAAATAACAACTATATGCTAATACATATGTACTAGTCCCATTCGTACATGACCATTACTTATTCAATATATCTTGGCCTTTGTGATTAAAGGATACTATGGTTCAAATAAAGAGCTGACAGCTGTAATACTGCATTAATGCTAGCTTGGTAGGTCATCCAAAAAAATGAAAATAATCATTAGTATTCATGAAATAAATGCTATCTAAATTTTATCTAACATTTAATTTTTTCATTCTTTTAAGTATAACATTTCTTCTTATCTAACATTGCTTCTTTAAATTTATGGATTTATTTCCCAGGCCTATTACCATAAGGGGAAACAATTCAGTTCTGATGACAGGGTTTTGGGATGTGGTTAAGTCTTGGCATGTTTATCTGGTATGATCTATGAAACATTCAACTTGTGAAGGTTTTGAAATAACTACTGCTTTGACATTAACTAACACCGTCATCTATTTCCCTCTTTCTGGTCTCTCATCACCAAAAGGTTCTTTAAATTGGAAGCTATTATATCCATATATGAGAAATCAGAGACCAAAGGTGAAACCAACTGACTCTAGATTTATACCATATTTCTAGGGCCAGGCTATGTCTTTGCTTCTGGAATTTTAAAGCATTGAGAAAACAGCTTAAACTCTTTTTCAGGTCTTAGATTTCTCTTTTGCTGATCAATAGTATAAGAAAAAACATCTGAGAACTGGAGTAGGTCAAACATATATTTATGTATAAAATCATGTCATGAGATGGTATTCACTACATATCCATAATGACACCCAGCAGAGATCATTTAAGAGCAATTTTGTTTCTTTTAACATAATGGAGAATCATTTTGTCCATGCTCCAATCCAGTAGATTTTCTTAATCCCACGGTTTCATAAAGAGTTCCCAAGGAAAACTGTAACAATGTTCCTTATCCCAATAACAATTCAGTATCAGATTTAAAGCACTATTTGCTATTTAAAAAATATATTTATTTAGAAATTATGTATATGGAAAAACTTGGCCTTTTCATTTGTGTTTAAATAATTGAAAATGTATAGGAAATTATCAAGACACTTTTATTAAATATTATCTCTTCATACTTAAAAACTTTGAAGACAGATATCTCAGGTTTTCTCTAATGTTATTCTTTACCACCTGAAAAACATATTTCTTCAACAAAATTTGAATTTAAGAATATTCAAACAGGACTCCCTTGTCTCAATTTCAGCTGAATCTTCATGCCCTTAAGTGCCAGAACACAATACAAGTTATGCTAAAAAAATATAAAACCAGTTTTGCTTCTCTTAGCTTATCATCCATTTGAGGGTACATGAGAAAAGATGGAAAGGTAAATAAGACTTTTAACAAAAATTTCCTTAGAGTTGTCAGCATGCTATGCATTTCACCCTGTCATAAGGGAAGGGCAGACTGCCTCCCCCTTACTTCAAGCCACATGAGGGATACTTCAAAAAGAGCATCTGAGATCTTGGCCTGTGTTCTCAGAATTTGAAATTACCTAAGGACTTGACATGTGCTTAAAATTATACCAAAAGCAAAGTTATGGTTACATCAGTTAAAGACAGCAAAACTAACAGATCTGAGAGTAAACTACACTTCCGTGCCAATGGTGAAGAAGAGGAAGGAGGAGTTTTCCCTAAGGGCCAAGCAGACCACCAAGAGAGCAGAATGAGGTCATTTAAAAGAAATTTTACCTATGAGGGCTGCCTATAAGACAAGGTAACCTGAACATATAGATTCCTTATACAGAGGACAAAAAGCAGGAACTAGAGAAGAACTACAGTCTGAATTTTCTGACTACCCTACAAAGCTCCCCATAAAAGAGCCACCAACTGAGCTTCAGGCACACAGAAGGCTACAATACAAGGCTCCAACTATATCAGTCAGATAATGGCTTTTTTTGTACCCATTAGCTCACTTCCATTTCACTAAAAGGACCTGATTCTGAAGGAATCACAAACAGCAGCTAGCATGGGGAAGAGACAGATCATGAAAGAAGGAACACTATGCACTTCTAACTCCCTCCCTCTCTCTCTCCCTCCCCTCTCCCATCTTCTCCCCTCCCCTTCCTTTGCACTTTCCTCCTCTCTCCCAGCTCTTACCCCTTCCTCCCGGTTTCCAAGAAGGCAGGCCCAACCAAGTTGCAGGAGAAAAAGTCAAGTTTTTATTTTAGATTGGACTGGACTTTTTTTTATTACTTCATATGAAATAACCAGGGGAAAAATCTATAGGACTTGCGAAGGATTTCATCCATGAGCAAGGAAAATGAGTCAAGAGTGCAGGTTTGCAGAGGTAGAGTGGGAAAGGAAAAAGTTTCTGCTTACACTCCAGCTTGTGTAACACATGTGTTTTATGTGTAAGGGTAAAAAAGTATTTAAAGTTAAAAAGGGTATATCCTTGGGGGATAAAATGGGGGCAAAATGTCACTTTCTGGAGTCAGTCCATGTCTACAGACAAAATATAATCTAAGTCCCTAGCTTTATGTGCTGTGTTTTGAAATCTTGTATTTATATGCTATGTTTTCCTTCCTCTGCAAAGATGGTGTCATTATTTGTTTAAATAATAAGTTTGGTATGAAATGGTAAATACGTCAAACCACCCTTTTGCTAGGGATCACTGCCTATAAAGTTGGACAGATGGCCACAACACTGTGAAATTCTAGGGAAAAAAATATTTCCTGATAAAAGAGGGTGCAACAGACATTCATAATTTAGACCAGTAGTTGCCAATTATTTTGACTAAGAGGACCCCTTTTAATGTCATATCTATATTGATTATTCAATATAGAAATGTTTAATGCCATATGAATGTCATGTGAACTAGCCTAAACTACTATTTTTAGGGGTCAAAATAAAATTTGCCCATTGTTATTCTAATTCTTTCCCTTTTCTTCCCTCCTTTTCTCCTTCTTGTCTTCTTTCTTCCCCACACTCCAACCTTTCTCCCTCCCAATCTTCCTTCCTTCTTTTTCTCCTTCAAAATTTTATGGATTTATACTGCAGTCAGACTTCTAATTATTATTTTTTTAGAAGATATAGTTATGTGGTGAATATGCAGAAAATTATTAATATACATATAACAACTCATTCCAAAAGAATCCAACTGCAGCAATGTTTTGTTTTGTATTGTCGCTGCCATGATATATATGTTGGATGCAGTTGCTAGATGATTTACCATTCATTATCTGCTACTGACTCTGAAACTCCATAATGGCACAATGATTTCTTTAGTAATCTAAAGATATTTTATCTTAATAACTACTCTCTGAAACATGAACTTTATTTCAATGTCCAATGTTTATAAGGAAGTTCTTCAGGATGAGTCAATCAGTATCTAAGTCTTACCTCTTTTAAAGACTATTTTTAATGTAATTTGGATCAAATCCCTCTACTGCTACAACCTTTTCCAGTATGCTATGACACTTGCACAACTATGCAGTGTTTTCTCAAGCATTCTGCTCCCAGTTTTAGTATTCCAGGCATGCTGGCTTTCTCTTGGGTCATGAAAGGTATCTAAACCCTTCCCACCTCAGGGCCTTTGCACATGGTATTCTCTCTACCTGAATCACTCCTCCCTTGTTCTCTGAATGGGTAACTCCTTCTCATATTTTAGGTATATTAAATGTTAACTCCCCAGAAAGGCCTTCTCTGACCATCCCATTTACAGTAAGCAGCCCCACCTCTACTAATCTCCATCACAGTACCCTGTTTGATTCTCCATAACAGCACAATTTGTTAGTACATGCCAAACTATATTTTAACTTTTTTATAAAATGTCTCTGACAGTAGGCTGTAAACTCCTTAAAGGCAGGAACCATGTCTGCATTATTTGCCCTGTACACACAACATAGCCAGGAATATATAGGAGCTCAAGAAACATGTGGTGGAGTCGGGGGAGGAAGACACAAAAGGAGGGAACTATTTGAGCATTTCTGAACCTTTTGTTGTTATTTCAAGCATAAAAGGGTATAGGAACAATACAACAAATACTCATGCTTATCTGACAAATATAGATCAAGTCCTGTGTATATCCCTTTCCTGTCTCATATTCCTTCCTCTCCATTCTGCAGAGGTAATCATTCTCTTGAATTTAGTATTTTTCATTACCATGCACATCTTTATATTTTAACCACATGTGAGTGAACTACTCAAAAATACATATTTTGTATTATGTTATAATTATAACTCTACATAAATATTACCAATCTCTTTATCATCTTTTGTAACTTGCTTTCTTCACTGAATATTATCTTTGTAAAATTCATCTGCATTGGCTTTAGTAATTCCAGTTCGCTCTTTCCTCTGCTTACTAGTATCCCATTATATTACACACTTACCCCTTTTCCTATTGAAACATATTTCATTTGTTATTTTCACCTTTTTTCTATTATAGACAATGTTGCTATGAACATTCTTCTTCATGTCTCCTCATGCACATGTTCAAGAGTTTCTATAGGGACATACCTAGAAATAGAAATGTAAGTCATAGGGTAGATTCATGTACAATCTCGAAGAGTTTGCCAAATTGCTCTCCAACATGGAAATCAATCTACAGTCCTCTAGCAACATTCAAGGTTTCCCTTGCTTCATTCATACTTCGTATTGTCAGACTTTTAAATGTCTGTCAACCTCTTAGGTGTGAAATCAAATATTTTTGTTTTAATTTGCTCTTATCTAAAGACTACTGAAACTAAGTAAATTTTACTGGCCATTCAGGTTTCCTTTTCCTTTTCTCGTTTCTCCTTTTTCTATTTAAGTTGAAGGAATTTTTTTATATTCTGGTTATTAATCCTTTGTCAGTTATCTTCTAAGAGTCTATGACTTGTCCTCTTGCTTTTTTATAGTGGCTTTTGACATATAAAATGTTTTCATTTTAAAAATTAGTCCAGTTTATCGATCTTTTCCTTTGTAGTTTGCACTTTTCGTATGTTGTCTACAGAATTCTTCCCTGCCTTAAAGTCATAAAGACATTTTCCTATATTGTTTTCTGAAATTTTTAAAGTTTTACTTTTTATATTTAGTTGACCTGGAACATTACTTTACTGTATAGAACAAACTCAAAATCCAATTTTATCTTTCTCCATAAGGATAACCAATTGATTTACCATCAATTACTGAATATTTCACCCTTTAATGATCTGTAGTATAAGACCTAAAAAAAAAAAAAAAAAAAAAAAAAAAAATTCACCTATATCTGCAGTC